GGGGTGCGGGGCCGCCTGGCGCCCGCCTACCCCGCCGGCCTGGGCGCCTTCGGCGTCTACCTGCGCGGCTACCACGGCGCGCTGGCCGAGTGGCTCGGGGCCGCCGCCCGCCGGAGGCTGCCGCTGCCCGACCGCTACGCCCTGCTGCACTGGCACAACCAGGTGTACCCCAGGTGAGGCGGGGCCGGCGGCCCCCGGGTCGCCCAGAAGCACCCTCCCCTCCCCCGCCAACACACGCTCCCCCAGACCCTGGCCTCTTCAGTTGCAACAGCTGGCTCCTCAATCCTAGAATCTTAAAACCGTTGGCCCTTCCGGTCCTCGGCGCTGGTGACATTGACAATCAGAGCCTCCGAGCGCTGTCCACCGTGCCCGTGCTAGAACCTTAGCGACATCGGCCCTTCCAGTTCTCAAACCTCAGCACCTCCCAGTCTGAGAACCTTTGCCCCGTGGACCCTTCCAGTCCAAGGACCTCAGCATCATCCCCACTGCCGTCCTTGGACGTGTAGCCCCGCCCACCCTTCCTTGGCCTAGAATCGTGGCACTGGTGATCTTTCCAGATCTAGAACCTTCGCATGGTGGACACTTACACCCCTAGAACCTTAGCACTGTGGAACTTTCCGGTCCAAGAACCTCAGCACCATGCCACTCCTGCATCCTTAACCCATCGATCCTTCCAGTTCTCAGCACTGTGACATTTACAAGCCGAGCCTCTGTGCGCTAGCCACCCTTCTGCGCTAGAACCTTAGCGACATCAGTCCTTCCAGTTCTAACACCTCGGCACCCCCAGCCCGAGGACCTCAGCGTCTCAACACTTCCACCCTTGGAATCATAGCGCTGCTCACCCTTCCAGTCCTAGAGTCTAATAAGCATCATGGATCCTTCTCGTTCTAGAAGGCTTGCGTTGTTATCTTTCCATTCTTAAAATCTTAGCACCATTGACACTTCCAGGCCTAGAACCTTCCCATCATTGACACATATACTATTAGAATCCCAGTACTGTTCACCCTTCTGGTCCTAGAATTTAGCACCGTTGACCATTCTCATCCTAGAAGCTTTGTACCATTGACCCTTCCAGTCCTAGTACCTTAACACCACTGACTCTTAAATACTAAAACCTTAGCACCAACATCCCTAAAATCTTGGCATAGTTGACCCTCAGAATTCTAGAACTCTTACACTGCTCTCTCTTTAGATCCTAGGGCGTTAGCCCTGTTGATTCTTCCAGTCTTAGAACTTGAGCACTGACACTTTCAATCCTAGAACCTTAGCACCAATGAGACTTCAAATCCTAAGCCTTAGGCTCATTCCCTCTTTAGAGTCTAGAACTTTGATACTGTGGATCCTTCCAGCATTAGGACTGTAACACTCATGGTCCCTTGAATTCTATGACCTTAGCACTTAGAACCTCAGCACCATCGATGCTCCCCGTCCTAAAATCTTCACACTGTCGAGACTTTGGATCCTAAAACATACCCATTCTTGTGGCCGGGGGATGGAATATGATTAGCCATGACTCGGTCACCTACGAACTCTGGGGAAAGGGAACTGGCCACACCCAAACCACATGTTGGCGAGCCAGTGGGGTGGGTGGTTCCTCAAACAAGATCATCCTGCTGTCGCTAGAAGAATGGGAAAGCAACAGCTAGTGACATCGACTTCCTAGATCCCCTTTGGGAATATGTGTTAAGGACACTCTCAGACCACCTATGAGAGACGAGGCAGGACAGGGAGTCTGGAAAGCTTCCTGGAATGGCGGGGCAGGAGTAGGAAGATGGTGCTTCTGGCTGAGAAGATGCCACGGGCAAAAGCTTGGGGTGAGTGTGGGTGGTGGGGGGCGGATAGGGAAAGTGACGGTACCACACAGGGCAGTGTGCAAGACTGTAGCACCGGGGAGTGAGAGCTAGACCCGGGAGGCCTCCAAGGCCAGGTGAGGTGGTAGGGACAAGGAGCGGAGGCGGGAGGGAGGTTCTGTCTGGTGAAGCTGATCATGGGAGAGATCTTGTGTGCCAGACCATCAAGCCTGGACTTGACCCCTGCAAGTCTTGCCCGGACACCATTCATCAGGGAGCTGACTCAGACAGCCGGAGCCAGGGGAGCAACAATTCCAGAGACTTCCTTTGAGGGATGAGCAAAGCTGGCCCCTAGAGAGGAAGGGAGTAGCCCAGGGTCACAAACACCCTGGGTGTGGAGGGTTTCAATTGCCCAGATCCCCCTCTCACAGACCCCCCTGTCTCTTGTCCCCCACTCCCAGAGAGGTCCTAGGGCTGGTGGACCTGGTAGCCCTGGAGAATGGGGAGCTGGGGCCCCTTCTGTCTCCCGGCACCCTGCGGGGCTTGGAGGATGAATGCGTCACAGATGTTAAGGTACTGGGGGACTTGGGAGCAGAAGGGACTCTGCAGGGAGGGAGGGGTCGCACTGGGCTTGGGGGCCTCTCCTCTCCCCCTTTGGCTACTGCCATTTCCCTTTTCCCTTTGTGGACTTCTGAGTTCTGCCCCCAAGACACAGAAACCTAAACCCGTACCTATTACTTGTGCCTTGGGTTCAATGTTGTTACCCAAGCACGCAGCCAGGCATAGAGAGCATCAGTAAAGGTTTGATACATTCTGATACTTCAAATCCAAATCGTAGAGCAAGAGTCAGTCACAGAAACTCAGCTCACGGTCCCAAAGCCTCACGGAAGGAAGGCATCACAGCAAGCCCTGGACACAAGCAGGGCAGACGGTCAGCATGGTTAATAACTGGCCAGGTATGGGCACCAGTCTGCAGGATGGTCCCGCCACGAACACCCAGCCTGGCCCCAGGGCTGTTTCCCACCTGAATTCCAGTCCTGCCTCAGCCAGAGAAATCAGAATCTTTGTAACCTGAGAGCCTAGAATCTCAGACTCCAACATACCTAGATTCTCAGATTCATTGAAGGGAACATTGGACCAGCGAATCAGAGATGCATAAATCTTAGGATCCCAGACCCTTGGAATCCTGGAATCACAGAATCTGACTCTTTTGAGCAAATTGTTTTACAGAACCTGGGAAGCAGAGCCTTAGGACCATCGAATAATGAGAGAATAGACCCTCAAATTCTCTGGCTATCAGATGGAGGAAGCTTAAAACTCCAGACTCTTTTTTTTTTTTTTAAGGTTTTATTTATTCGAGACACAGAGATACAGACAGAAAGAGAGAGCATGAGCAGGGGGAGAGGCAGACAGAGAAGGAGAAGCAGGCTGTCCGCTGAGCAGGGAGCCCGATGCGGGGCTCGATCCGGGGACTCTGGGATCATGACCTGAGCTGAAGGCAGACGCTTAACCAACTGAGCCCCCCAGTAGCCCCCAAACTACAGACTCTTAATATCAAGCTCCAAATCATAGACTTAGGGATGCAAAGTGCTGGGGAGGTTTTCTGGTCCAGGCTCCCTCCCTCCTCAGCGTAACCTTTACAAGCTCGGGAATAGAACCAAGAGCTGCCTGGGGCTAAGGTGTAGGGACCAAGGGGGAGGGGGAGAAAAGGAGGGAGAGGGTCCGAGGCGCCCCTGACTCTTGCCTTTCCCCCCACCTTCCCACTCCAGGCTCAGACACGCGCAGCCCTGCTTCGGGTGCTGCAGGAGAATGAGGAGCACTGGGGGAGCACGGAGGACCGGCCCAGCAGCCTGGCGCAGGATGTGTGTGAGGTAGGGGGTGGGGAAGTGGAAGGAGAATCAGCAGGAAGAGTTTCCCCGGGTGGGAAAGCAGGACCTCTCCCCTCCTCACCCCTTCTCCTCTCCAGCTGCTGGAAGAACATACAGAGCGAGCACCCCGCATCAGCCAGGAGTTTGGGGAGCGGATGGCCCACTGCTGCCTGGGGGGGCTAGCAGAATTCCTTCAGAGGTATGGAGGGCTGGGGGCAGGGGGACAGGGCTGGGGTGGGGAGGCATCAGTACCCAGGATCAACAGAGAGAGGAGAGATGAAAGGGAACCAAGTAAGGATGGGCAGAGGCTCATCAGTGAGGATCACAGGCTTTGCGGGGCTGAGCGCCCAGCAAGAGGCCCTCCTCCAGCGGTGCTCCATCTGTCACGCACCCTCCCTTTCTCCTGTCACCAGCTTCCAGCAGCGGGTGGAGCGATTCCATGAGCATCCAGGAGTGCGGGAGCTGCTACCTGACACCTACATCAGCAGGACCATCTCCCTGGTCAATTGCGGGCCCCCACTGAGGTGAGAGCGCCCAGTGTGTGTGTTGAGGGAGAGGGCCAGTGGCTGTGACAAGCTGAACTGGGGCAGGGATCCCAGAGCTGGCCCAGAGTGACAGGCACATGGGGCCTTAGAAGCATAAAACCCTAGGGAGTCCTGGAAAGGACCTGAGCATCACAGAGCCCTAGAATTACGTACGGAGCGGAGTGATCAGAACATTGGAGTGTTCCAATTATAGGAACCTAGAAGCCAGACTCAAACACTCTAGGAATTACAGATTTTTTTTTGCCTTTTTATCTTACTCTCCTTTTTTTATTAACTTATTTTTCATGCATTCGAAAAATCGGGAATGCATTTACATGGTTCAAAATTTGAGATACAATAGGGCATAGAGTGGAAAGCCGCCCTCCTACACCGTCCCCACCTTCCTTATTGCTAGAGTCTGCCATATCTTTGCTGGGGCACTTGATATATTTACCCGTAAATATGTGTAAATAAGTGTATGCATGCATATGCATACTTCATGCATATGCATATTTATGCACATTCATATGCATATTTCATATGCACATTCCATATATATACACAAGTAAATATATTCACTGTGTGAATACATACTATTCCTTTTCCTTTAAAAAAAAACCCCACAAATGGTAGACTATTGAACACACTTTTGTGCCTTTCCCCTTAACAGCTTGGAGACCTTCCTGTTAGCACGTGGAGTTCCCACATTTCCTTTTAGACCTGAACTGTGTTCCACTGTTTGCATATACCATCATGTATTTACTGTCCCCAGTGAATGGAGAGTCAGCTCCACCCTTTGGCAGAGAAAAACCTGGCACACCTGTCAATTCCCACAAACGTGGGGACTCTGAAGGACACATGCCCGGAAGGGGGCTCGCTGGGATTTTGGGCAGAAAATGCCAAGTTGCCCTCAGACCACGTTAAGGTCCTTTCAGTGATGGAGGGTCATCATTAAGAGAAGTGGGAAAGGTAGGATTTTAGAATTAGAGATGTTTAGAATCACATTCCACAGAGCTTCCATATCCCCCTAGCCTCCCAGACACCCCCTGATATTGCTCAGCCCCTGGATTCTCCCCAGAGCCCCTGACTTCCCCCAGCTCCCCATCTGACCTGTCACCCCTGTCCTCACAAAATAGAGTCCATCTAAGGAGGAAGAGCGGTCCAGGCAGTTGAGCAGAATATTGGAGCTCCTTGACTTGTGGCTCCTCTGATCCCCACAGGGCTCTGGCAGAGCGCCTGGCCCGGGTGGGGCCCCCCGAAAGTGAGCCGGCCCGGGAAGCAGCTGCCAGTGCTCTGGACCGTGTGACCCGGCTCTGCCACCGAGTCCTGGCTGACCTGCTGTTTCAGGAGCTGCAGGTGAGTGAGGCAGGGGGCTGGCGGGGGGTGGAGTGTGCCAGGACAGGGGAGCACCCCGCCAAACTGCAGTTCCTTTCAGCCCATGACTCAGTGTTCAGGAAACGGGGGCGGGGAGGGAGGTAGTAGGGGGTGATGGCCTGTCATTTGGGGGGGCAAAGGGGGGTGCAGGAAGGAAGAGAGGGGAGGATATGGTCAAGGGGAGGATGGAGAGCAACCAGCAGAAGGGGCCTTGGGGATTGGGTGGAGCCCCTCCCCACTGAGGCCCCCCAAATCCCTGCCCAGCCTCTCCTAGACCCCGGAGCCCTATTTACCTCCGGGCTCCTGCACATGCCAGAGGGGGGCTGCAGTCGGGTCGGAGGTGGGTGAGAGTATGTGGGGAGGGCGGTGGGAGTACCTGGGAATGAGAGAGGTGTGTGTATGCCTGGTTGTAACACATGCTCAATCCACGTTGTACATCCCAGCTCACTCAGAGCAAGAGCCAAAGTCCTTGCTGTGGTCCCCAAGTCCCCGGATGATGATGAGCTGACCCTTCCCTCTCTGACCTCGCCTCCTCCCACCTGTCTCCTCACTTACCCCGTTCCCACCCTCCCAGCCCCCTCACTGTTCCTTCACACGACAGAGTAAAGCACCTTTGCACTTGCTGATCCCTCTGTTTGGACCCCTCTCCCCCCCCAGGAGCCACATCACTCGCTCTCTCCCCTCTTTCAAGCCTTGACATCTGAGTCTCACCTTCTCACTGAGACCTCCTCGGACCGCCCTATTTAAAATAGAAGGCCTAGGGGTGCCTGGGTGGCTCAGTTGGTTAAGCGTCTGCCTTCGGCTCAGGTCATGATCCCAGGGTCCTCGGATCGAGCCCCGCATCGGGCTCCCTGCTCGGTGGGAAGCCTGCTTCTCCCTCTCCCACGACCCCTGTTTGTGTTCCCTCTCTCGCTGTGTGTGTCTCTGTCAAATAAATAAATAAAATCTTTAAAAAAATAATAAAAAAATAAAATAGAAGCCCTGAGAGGAGACTCCCTTCCTCACTCCCTGCTATGTTTTCCTCCAAGCACTTGCGGCCACCTGCGCTCTGCTATGGCCTTTGCTTTTTTTTTCTTTTTCTTTTTTTTCTCCTCCCCAACCCAACTCCTCCCACAGGAATGTTAGCTTCTCAAGGGCAGGGTTTGTTGGAATGTTTCTAAAATAACTTTTTATTATGGAAAATTTCAAACATACACAAAGGTAGGCAGAATGATAGAATGGCCCCCTGGTGGACCAGTTCCAGCAAGTTGTCAAGGCCTGGCCAGTCTTGTTTCACCTCCGCCCCCGCCCCCGCCTGCCCCCAGATCCCCGACATCCTGTCATCATCCATCAACACTTCAGCCTGCATCTCCAAAAGATAAGAAATCCTTTTTTAAATGAACATAACCACAGTGCCGTTTTCATACCTAATACAGGGAACAATACTTCCTTAGTATCAGCAAATATATATATAATATATAATAAATATATAGCAAATACCAGATAAGTATTCAGATTCCCCTGACCTGCTTACAACGATCAAATGCCTAGAGTTTTGTTTGTCTCATTCTGCGCTGTGTCCCCCAAGTGTTCTCCATGTGTCCCCAGCCACCCACCCATGGCCACAGCCATAGGAAGGGCTCACACAGTGTTTGTTGAATGACTACATGGATAGGTGTGTGCGGGAAAGTGAGCGAGTGGGGGGATTATGGGGGTGCTAGGGAACGGGTACGGTCTTTGTTCCCGGCCTGCCTGCGCTGCTTCCAAGTAGGGGGACATGGGGCAAGTTACTTGTCCTCTTGGGGTTTCTGTTTGCTCATCTGGAAAAACGGGCACAGGAATTCCAGGCTTCTGGTGGTGATGGTGGGGGCAGTGGCTGTGAGGAAGCGATGGGAACGTGGCTATAGAATGCTTAGCTCCATCCTGGACCGCGGGTCCTGGCTGATATCTTGCTAAGAATACAGGGGTTATAGCAACAGTGACACACCCTGAGCCAGGCACATGAGCTTTGGCTCATTTAATTCACACCTGCTTTTCAACAAAAGGCCCCATCTTGGGAGGTTTGGACAGCCGGGTTACTGTTGGAACGAGAGAGCAGGAAGTGGATGCGGGGCAGAGCTGGGGTAGGACCTGCTTTAGACACCGTGGACGCCAACCCCGCATGTCCATTCCCCAGGGTCCACCCAGATCGCAGCATCTCCCCCCACGACCCCCAGATCCATCTCAGGGACAGACCCAGTGCCTGTCCCAGCTCTTGGATCACGTTCAAGTGCCTCCCTTCCCTCCCCCCAGAGAAATCCTACGAATTCTATCTGGGCTCTGCTTTCCCCCTCCTCACCCCTCTTACTTCTTTTCCCCTTTCCTCTCCTTCCAGCCCCCCCCATTTCTGCCTCAGCCTGGCCCCTCCTGTTGAGATCTCCGTAATGTATAAGCCTGACCCTCTCTGTCTGCTCCCAACCTGCAATGGCTCCCCAGTGCCCTCAGGAGGAAGCTGGGACACCTTACAGCCCTCTGTGCTCCAGCCCCACTCACCCGCTTTGCCACATCTCCGTGTCTCCCTGTCACCTGTTCCGGCTTCGGGGGTCTGTGGAACCGAGCAGTCCCACGGGACCCCCTGCTTGAAAGAGCCACGGCTTGGTTTGCTGCCCTGCCGCTGCTGTCTTGAAGTTATCAATAATTTTGAACAAGGGCCTTCCCTTTTCATTTTGCTCTGGGCCCCGCAAATTATACAGATGATCTTGCCAGCCACACTGACCTTCTTTCTGATCCTCTGACATGAAGGCTCATCTGAAATGTGATCCGCCTTCACAGGCTGATGGAGCCACTCCCTCCCACACCCCTCACCCGGCTAACTATGACCATCCTCCTGGCCCCAGCTCTGGTGTCCCTTCCTCCAGGAAGCCCCCCTTGACTCTCTGTGCTGACTCAGGCACCCGCTCTGGGCTTCCTAAACTCCCGGTTCCCTCGTCCCAGCCCTGACCGCTCTGGGTCCATCTTTGGGGATGGTCTGTCTCCCTCCCTGGACTGTTCGCCCCGGGAGGGCACAGCACAGCACTGCGGGTCCAGCTCTCTTCTGTGGAACTGGTAAGTGGAGGAGGAGGGTGGAAGGGAGGAGAGCTAAAACCACCCCCCATTCTGTCCCCCCCAGCCCCACTTCAACAAGCTGATGCGCAGGAAGTGGCTGAACAGCCCGGAGGCCCTGGATGGCATCGTGGGCACGCTGGGCGCTCAGGCCCTGGCACTGCGCAGGATGCAGGATGAGCCCTACCAGGTGCGCGGGCTCGTCGGGGTGTGGGGTGGGGAGGGATGGGCAGAGAGTGGGGGAGCGGGAGCGCGCCGCAGGGGGAGACCCCTTCAAGGTGCGGAGCAGCTCTCTCAGGGTGAGATAGGCGGGGCTCTGCGCGGGGTCTGCGGGTTGGCAGGGGCGCGGGTACTGGGGTGTCGGGTGCGGCGCGCACAGGGTTGGGGCCTCTGGGAGGGAGAACTCCGGCGAGGGGGGAGAGGGCTGGGACGCCGCAGCCTTTGGGGGCCGGCGAGCCGATTAGGGGGCAGAGAAGGGTGTCATCCGGCAGGACAGAGGTCACCCGTCGGGAGTCGCGAGGGCTGCTTGGGGGGCTGGGGGCGACGAGTGGGCGCGGCGCCCTGTGGGTAGGAGAGGGGTGCCCGTGGGGTGCCCGGGGTGGGCGCCGGCGGGTGAGGAGCGGGGGAGGGCGTCACCGGCTGCTCACCAGCCCTCGCGTCTCCCCCGGTCCCCAGGCTCTGGTGGCCGAGCTGCACCGGCGGGCGCTGGTGGAGTACGTGCGGCCCCTGCTCCGAGGACGCCTGCGCTGCCGCTCGGCTCGGACCCGCAGCCGCGTGGCCGGGAGGCTCCGGGAGGACGCGGCGCAGCTGCAGCGGCTGTTCCGGCGGCTGGTCAGTGCGGCCCGGGGGCGGGGGGCTCCGAAACCCCGGGAAAACCTGGGCTGCCGGGAATCCCCGGACCCGATAGCCGGGGCGGAGGGCTTTTGAAGAAGGCCTTCACCCAACTTTCAGTCCACAGTGACACTTTGATCCTGGCCCTGCGCGCGTAAAAATCGGCTTGCTCCCGGAGAAAGCTCGTCTCCGGGCGCAAACCGGCATCATGTCCCCCGTGCCTGGTGGTGGGGATTCGATCAGTTCAGTCCTGCGAGGTGCTTAGGGCCCTACCCGGCCAGTGCTCCCACTCCCTAAAACAGGAGCTGTTCTGAGCACAGAGAGAGGCTAAACGCAACAGAAACCCGAGAATCTTGGCGTTCCCAAATCCAAGAATGTAAAATGACCAACTCTTATTTGTACCCAGTTGTGGTCAGCAGGACCGGAAGGGCTTCACTCATCCGCATTGCCAGGACTTTCTAGTCTGCAGTACTTGGAATCGAGGTGGGGGGGGGGGGCGAGGGCTGCGTCATCTTCCTGAGAACGCAGGGAGGCCTCTCACACAAGTAATCCAGTTTCCCCTGAGGGTCACCTTTTGCAAACGAGGACTAGGTTTGGAGGGGTGTCCCCGAGCCCCAGATGGTCTGCAACACTGGGGGTAGATACATTTAGATTGCATTTGTCTTCACATTTCCAAAGCTTCCAGGTCCTCCCAAACCTCTGATCAGGCCTGTCCTCTGCCCGGCTTTACGGAGAGAGAGAAGGCCAGGAGGGGTGCGGTTCACAGGGAGGGGGACCTAGGGCCAGAGTATGACCTTGGAGCCTTCCCCTGCAGGAGTCCCAGGCCTCGTGGCTGGACGCCGTGGTGCCCCATTTGGCCGAAGTTCTGCAGCTGGAAGACACGCCTAGCATCCAGGTGGAGGTGGGGGTGCTGGTGCGGGACTACCCCGACATCAGGTGAGAGCCCCCAACCACCCCCAGCGCCGGCCTGGTCCCTTGTTGCTGGTGCGGCCGCCGCCGCCAGGTCGAGGACTCCGGGCCTTGGCATCCGTCCCGGCGTTTCCTGCTCTTGGGCGAGGGAGGGAGGTGGCGAGCGTGTCTGATGGCCGTTTCCTGCTGGAACCAGGGCATTATTAATACGATTTCCCTCCTTCTCCTGCCGCCGCCGCCACCAGGGCTCGCAAACAAACAGGCAGTCACAGGAAGCCCAGGGCAGGGGGGGCTCGGGGCCGCCGGCGGCAGGAAGGGCCAGCCCAGCTGGGGAGCCGCGGGGGACACGGGGACACGCACGGGCACATGGGCGCACACGTACTGGGGACAGTGGCAGGCGCCGCTCAGATCCTGGTGGATCATTTCCTCTCTGTGGGACCCTCTCTGAGCCTCTCCCAGGGGGGATAATAGCACTCTTCCCATAGGATTGTTGGGGGTGGAATTCTCCATCATCGGTCAACATCAGCATTACCCTCATCACCCACGGGGGCAGCAGGACCAAAGACCAATTCTTGTTTATTGAGTCCTTATGTCAGACCTAAGAAAGCATGGTATCAGCCCACTCTATAAGTAAGACCTATGATAAGTTATTTTAGAAAATGATATGCAAGTAAAAGGCAGTGCTATTCTAAATGCTTAGCATCCTCTGAGGCAGACAGGAATTAAGTAGATTACCCCAAATGCTACAGCTAGCAAGTGGCCAAGCTGGGACCTGAACCCTGGGGCAGGCTGGCTCAAGCTGGTGCACCTGATCACCGCCCCCCACCCAAATGCGATTGGTGGTGGTAGCCCTGCAGAGCTCTTTGGGCTCCCAGACGTTCTGTGTATTGGGAGAGACAAAACCCCACACCACCAGGGAGTGAGGCCCCAGCAGGGTTTAGGCTCCAGGGCTGAGGACTTGGGGTAGAGGGTGAGGATTCTGGATGCAATGCAGGATGGACAGGTCTGGCTCTGGAGTGTGGGGCTCTTTGTCCTTGGGAAGACAAAAAGTCCTGTGGAGTCCTTGGCGGGGGTGGGAATCCCAGCCTTCCTCCTGGATTGGGGTTTCTGATTTGGAATCTGCACTTGAACATGAAGCTCAGTTTGAAAGCTCTCAAGTTTTGGAGTGGTTCCAAAGCCGACTTTGGAGCTTGTCTGAGCTGGAAGGCTCTTGAGCCACATTTTTGGATGAGCAAATTTTGGAGCTGTGGTGATTCCAAACTGGGGATGTGGGGAAGAGAAGACGCCGAGCTGCGTTTGAAGGGGGTAGTGAAGGCCCCAGCGCTCTGTCTGAAACGAAAGTTCTGGAAATGACTGTTCGGTTCAGGCTCTTGAGTCGAAACGTGGTGATGGTCCTGGAGTTTTGGACCCACCATCTGTTGCAGAGATACGGGTGAAGGGAAGGCTTGTTGTGTCAGATTTAAGGGCAAGGGTTGGAAAATAGAGTTAGTTTTGAGACAGAGTTTCTGGTTGAGGGCCCCCTGCCCCAAGGTTAATTTTAGTTCTGGAGTGGAACTTTGGTTGAGCAGGATTCTGGCGATAGGGTGTGTGTGTGGGGGGTGAAGCGAATGTTCCAAGGGGATGGAGGTGCTCTCATGGATGGGCTCTGGGTTGAGAGCTTGAGTTCGTATACGGGCTCTGGAACAGCAGGGGTGGAGAAGCTTCCAGACCTGGCCTGGGGTTAGGGGGGAGGTGAGGGTTCAGATGGGAATGTGGACGAACCCTTCTGGGCAGCATCTGAGTGATGGTAGGGGGCTGTTGGAGGTGCGAATGAAGATGAAGTGAGGGTTGCTGCTGATGCTGGGGCTTAAGCAAGGTGTGAGGGGACCAGAAGGAAGCCCAGAAGAAGTCTGAGCTGAGTTGGGGCTGAAGATTGAAGGTTAATCAGGAGCTAAGACCAGGGTGCATAGGAAGACTCCTGTGCTGGGTATAGAGGTGAGGGTTCTGGAGTCAGTTTGGAAATGGTTGCTTAGCGAAGTTCTGGAGGGCACGCTGGTAGGGGGAGGGGCTGGGAGGACTAGAAATGGGGAGGGAATGGGGGCTGGGATGCGGGGAGGGCTGGGGGGCTGCTGGTCTGGGGAAAGAACCTGGAAGGGGGCTTTAAAGGGGCTCCAGAGCTAAGACAGGTTCTGTGACGGATGGGGGCCAGATGGGGTTCACAGGTGGGCTGGTGTGTGTCTCGCACGGAGAACCCCATGCACCTGTCCCTTCCTCTCTCCCCAGGCGGAAGCACGTGGCAGCCCTCCTCGACATCCGAGGCCTGCACAACGCAGCCGCCCGCCAGGAGATCCTGGCTGTGGCCCGGGACCTGGAACTGTCTGAGGGGGGAGCCCTGTCACCCCCTCGGGACCGCGCCTTCTTCTCAGACATCTCCGTGCCCCGCCCACCTTTCTGCCTTGGCCTCCCTCTCTTCCTGGGCCGCCTTCCCCTCTCCCGGCTGGCCAGGCCTGATTTGGCCTGTCTGCCCCGGCTTCGGCCTCTGTCTCCATCACGGCCCCCTACCCAACGCTGAGACTCTCCCAGCCCTCCACCTCAGTGCCCCCCATCTTTGCTGCTGACAAACCGTCCTCCTGTATGGGCTCGCTCTTGACTCCCTGCCTGGGACCACAGACCTCCCCCCACGGGGGGGATGGAAAGATCCTCAGAAGTCTTCTCGGCCACCCCTACACCCCCGGAATAGAAGAGAAACAGGCCGGAGGGAGCAAGGACTTTCCCAAGGCCACGAAGCTCATTCCCAGCACCAGCTCCCGGCCCAGTGTGCAGTGGGGGGCATTTTGGAAGGCTCTACAGAAGTATCCCAGGCCCCCCCTTTCCCCTCACCTCAAGGTCTGGCCCCAGTCCAACGTATTAAGGAATGTACGATACTTAGAATAAAGAGGTTTCTATTTAACACAAGGAAGGGCTGAGTCCCCAGTGTGTGGGGGAGGAAGGACCGGGGGCAGGGCCCAGGGCCAAGGGCTTCTCACACACCCGAGGCTGGGCCGGGGTCCAACTCCTGGGCAGGGCAGTGGAGGCTGAGAGAGGCCCCACAGGCCAGAAGCAGTCAAGGTCGTCCCATTTACCCCGAGACCCCAGGCTGCGGGACTCCGGGGCAGGCCCTCGGCCACCCTTGGCCAGGGTCCCTCGTTTCGTCAATCCCAAAGTGCCTCTCCATCGTTTCCGGGCCTGGTAGTTCCACCTTGGCACACCCCACCCCCTTCCATCCATCCTTAGCCGGGAAGCTGTGTCAAGAGAGGAAGGAGGTTGGGGGCAGGGCCGGCGGCATCCAGGGCGCCCTCCTGGGTTGATGCAGGAAAATCTCAGGGTGGGAAAAATTCCAGCCTGATCCTGATCCCCATGGAGACCTTGAGGTCACCTCCCTGCTGACCCCTGCCTCTCCAGCCTTGTTGGACAGCCTATGATGGATGCTTCCTGGTGTGTGTGTGTGTGTGTGTGTGTGTGTGTGTGTGTGTGTGTGTTTTCCCTGAGAAGTGGGAAGGAGGAGGCAGCCAGGGGTCAGCTTTGGGGCTGGGGTTGGAACCTCACCCACATGTGAACTCAGGAAGGTGGGGACTCAGGACTCTTGGAGCCTCTGGGCTGTGTGACCTCGGGCAGGAAGCTGCCCCTCTCTGGGGAACCACTTAACCTCTCTTTCCCTGGGCCAAGGTGAGCCATCCAGAGGACGTACCCCCCTCACTTCCACTCCTAAGGGGACACTTTCAATGTCACTGATGTACAACAGAGGAGTTGAGGAATGAACGACGGGTTGCAATTTGTAGGCATTTCACGAAGGACCTGTGAACCTCAGTGTAGAAGTATTCTTTCCAGATTTGGGTCCCCCATTTAAAAACAGCTTTATGGAAATGGGATTTGCATGCCCGACAGTTCATCCCTTTGAAGGTTCGATTCAGTCACCCTTGGTATATTCGCCGATTTGCACAACCATCACCACACTCAATGTTAGAACATTGTCATCATCCCCCAAAAGACACCCTGTACCCCTTAGCTGTCCATCCCTCTCAGGCCCTGGTGACCACTGGTCTACTTTTTGTCTTTATAGATTTGCCTATTTTGGACATTTCATATAAATGGGATCATAGAGTGTGTGCGTGTGTGTGTGTGCGTGCGCGTGTGTGTTAAGAACACTTAACATGAGAGGGTCGTCTGGATGGCACAGTCAGTTAAGCATCCAACTCTTGGTTTTGGCTCAGGCTGTGATCTCAGGGTCCTGGGATCAAGCCCTGCATCAGGCTCCATGCTCAGCGTGGAGTCTGCTTGAGATTCTCTCTCTCTTCCCCTCCCACTCGTGCTCTCTCTCTCTCAAATAAATAAATAAAATCTTAAAAAAATAAAGAACACTTAACATGAAATCTGCCCCTTTTTTAAGATTTTATTTATTTATTTGACAGAGAGAGACACAGCAAGAGAGGGAACACAAGCAAGGGGAGTGGGAGAGGGAGAAGCAGGCTTCCCGCGGAGCAGGGAGCCCGATGCGGGGCTCGATTCCAGGACCCTAGGATCATGACCTGAGCTGAAGGCAGACGTTTAATCGGCTGAGCCACCCAGGTGCCCCGAAATCTGCCCTCTTAACACATTTTAAAAAAAGTTTTATTTATTTGAGTCATCTCAACACCCAATGTGGGGCTCAAACTCACGACCCTGAGATCAAGAGCCACACACTCCTCCGACTGAGCCTGCCCCTTACATGTCTGACACAGTATTGTTAACTACAGGCACAGGGTCATGAGGTGATCTCTGGAGCTCACTCATCTTGTATAACTAACATCATCTCCACTAAACAACTCCCCATATAACCCGGCCCCCTCCCCTGGAGTCACCCTCCTCTCCTCTGCTTCAGTGGGTTGGAGGATTTGAGAGAGCTTATAGAAGTGGAACAATGCAGAATCTGTCCTTCTGGGACTGGTGGATTTCCCTTAGCAGAAAATCTTCCAACTCCATCCATATTGTCACAAAGGGTCAGGATTGCCTACTCTTCAGCCTGAATATTATTCTGTTGTATGGAGAGACCACATTTTCTTTATCCATTCGTCTGGCGATGGACATTAGGGGCTCTTTCCATAGTTTGGCTCTTTGTGAATAAACACATGGTCTTTTGCGTCTCCCTTCTTTCACTTAGCATGATGTTTTTGAGGTTCACTCATGTTGTAGCCTGCATCAGTATGTCCTTCCCTTTCACTATCGAATAATATTGCAGTGTATGTATGCACCACATTTTATTCATCCACGTATCGGTGGATGGACATTTAGGTTGTTTCTTCTCTTTGGTTGTTATGAACATGGTGCCCCACTTTCTTCTAGATTGCACACATTTTCTTGGTTCCCTGAGCAGCTCTGACCTTACTCTGAGCCTGTTTCCACTTGGATAAAACAGGAGGAAAGGTCCTAACAGCTGCATTAATTCAGCTCCGACTGCATGCCAAGGACCATGCTCTTGAGGATTCCCTCAGTGCCCCTTCTCCACAAACATGCAGGTTTGGAAACAGAGGGAGAAGGAATGCAGTCAGAGTCACCACCCAACCAGTACCAGGAGCAGGACCCCACCTGTATACCCCAGGTTCGTACTAACAGCCACTCCTCTGAGCCAGCTGGCTGGGAGGGCACAACGAGGTGCTCCTGGCTGAGGCATCCAGGCCAGGTCCTGACCCATGGGAAGTGCTGGGAAAACATTAGCTGTTTGGACTCAGCTGGAGGTGTATTCAGTTCTGATTCCACATTTTTCTGGCTGTGGGACTGGGACAGCATTGTACCTCTTTATTGTAAGGTGTTCCTTGAGGGGTGCGTGGGTGGCTCAGTTGGTTAAGTTCCTGACTCTTGATTTCAGCTCAGGTCATGATCTCAGGGTTGTGAGACTGAGCCGGGCATCGAACCCCACATTGGGTTCTGCACTGGGTGTGAAGCCTGCTTAAAATTCTCTCTCTCCCTCTCCTCTCTAGAAGAAGAGAAGGAGGA